GCGCAGATGGCGGCGCTTGCGCAGATGATGGGGTTTCCGGTCGATGGGGAGGATGAGGACGACGGTGCGTTCTTCTCCTCTTTATTATACTCAATGTGAGGACGAGAGGTGCTGATGAGGATTGTGTGCAGCGCTCGCGATGGGGATGGGGATGGGCGTGGGCGTCGGTATAGGCGTGCGGAGCCGGGAGGAGCGGGCGGAGATGGCGGGGTTGAAGGAAAGGTTTAATGGGTGGGTCGATGTTGCTGTTGCGATGGGCAAGTCCCAGGTGAGTGTCTGCTTTTCTTTTGCCTGCCTTACCCGCATTCTGGTCTTACGTATCATCTTCTGCTCTTACATACTACGTTCTGCTCTTACATACCGCCTTCTTCTACTCTTACATATCACCTCCTGCTCTTACATATCACCTCCTGCTCTTACATATCACCTCCTGCTCCTGCATATCACCTCGTGTACTCCGTCCCACCTCTTCACCTCTTACATCTCTGTATCGCGAGACTGAACGCATATGTGCATGCATGCTGATTGAGGTTGTGGGCGCAGGTGCTGCTGATCAAGGCGTACAACGACGCGAGCGCGTTCGTGCCGTACATCAAGGACACGGAGGTCTGTGCGGGTGTTATCAACGCGTGCGTCTTCCCTCCCTTCCCTCTCCTCTCCTCATCCTCTCCCTCCCCTTATCACCCCCCTTTTGATTCCCCAATGCTGAAAACGGCCGCAGACTGGCCGAGCGCGGCCAAGACTCGATCCTCGAAGCGCTCGACGCGCTCGACGCGTTCGCCAAGGCGCAGCGGAAGCGCGAGGCCGCGATCAAGGCGAAGAGGGAGAGGGAGGCGAGGGCGGCGGCGCAGAAGGCTGCTTCTGGCGCTTCGGGGTCGGGAGCGGGAGCGGGAGGTGCTTCGGGATCTGGGGAGGCGGGGCCGAGTTCGGGTGCGGGGCCGTCTGGATCTGGTGGAAGTGGAGGAGGCGGTGCGAAGAAAAAGACTACGCGATCTTCGACATCCGCTTCAACATCCACCCACCCCCACACGCACACTCATACGCACAACCACCCGCCCCTCCCAATCCCCGTCATATTCGGCGGGACGACGCCCGCTGGCGGATGGGGGTTCGTCGCGGGGCAGGCGCCGGTGCAGGGGGAGGAGAGCGATGATGATGACGATGAGATGCCGGCTTTGGAGCCTATTGGTGGCGCGGCGTCGGCTTCTGCGACTGGAAGCGCTGGGGTTGCGACGGCGAATGCAGCGGGAGCGGGCGGAGGTGCGGCTGGTACGGCGGCAGGAGGAGCTGCAGGAGGAGGTGGTGCTGGTGCGGGAGGGGGAGGCACAACGACGACGACGACGCACATCCACGTCCTCAATCCCCACGCGAACGCCTTCGAGCCCGGCGGCGGCGGATTCGGGCTCGGCGCCGGTCCTACGCCTCACCCTCATACCGCTCAGCACACCCATCACGCACACGCACACCACGCCCACCACCTCGCGCACGGCCAGCATCAACATGCGCACGCCCACGCACCCCCTCCCGCGGGCCAGAACCCGCTCACAGCAGCCCTAAGCGCGATGTTCGGCCTCGCGATCAACCAGACGCTTAACGGGCTCGCTGGCGGGTCTGATGACGAGGATGGGGAGGGGGAGGGTGGGGAGAGTGATAGTAGTGGGGAGGGGCCGCCGGGGCTTATGCCTGCTGAGCGGGATGGTGATAGTGATGGGG